CATGCACACAGAGTTTCTGGAACATCATCTAATATACCTGAATGCAGGGCCTCCTAAAATCTAGATGTCCTCAAGGGCAGCAACAGGGTCTGGGATGGTACTCTGAATAGAAATGAATAAGAAAAGGCCCCAGCAGAACTCACTCCAAAACCAGCCCTCCAGATGACACTAGGACTCCCATCTCATGTAGGCAGTCTGACATGTAACTGTGAACACAGATCACAGCTGCACCCAGAATCTGCACCTGCGTTACTCTTCCTTTTTGGATTCTAGAGGCTCTAAAGGAGCATAGTCATCCCACATTTCCTCAAAGGTAACCACCCAACTGTACAATCCACAGCTATAACCCTATGTCTCATCCCATTGGGAGTCCTTAGGCCTGTAACTGCTGTAGACTAAGCAAGAGGCTGTCTTATCTGCATCCAGATTCACATGTGCAGGAAGGCACTCATGCCCAAACTTGCTGGCTCTGACATCTCTCCCATCTATCATCACTAAATGCTCACGCTTGCACAGAGGATGCCTACGAATGCCCCTCTTCTCCTAGAGTCTGCACCTGCAAGTGCAAAGCCTGCATCTTCTTTTGGGGTCCTCAGATCTTCGCTATAAAAGCCCTCTTGCTCTCCACAGGGATCATCTCTCTAGGATCCATTCCTTCTCCATAAATAAGTTAAATGCAAGGAACCAACAGTATTTCTGTTGAGATGTGAAGGTAGTGTGTAAGGGGATCAGGTGTGCTGTGCTCGCTCTCTCTAGCTTAGTACTGCTGAAAGACAGATGGGGAGTTATTGAAACAGGGCTCTGGGGAGAGAAGCATCAGCACCACCCGGGATTGTGTTAAAAATGCAAATTCATGCACCAGACCTCAGAGAGAAGGCTGTTGTATTTCTGGAATCCTACAGAACAGGATGATAGAACTACCAGGCTGCAAACATGTGTTATTCATCAAGTGAAGGGAAATATGACTTTGAAGGTGATTCTGAGAATGCCAGAGCTGCCACTGCTTTATCGGCCAGGCTTTGGGTACAGAGCTGCTGCCCAGGATGTTAGGGTCATCACTGATGCTCAGGGGGGCCTGGAGGGCAAGGCTGCCACCCCTGTGGGCCCAGAGATCAAACACCAGCCAAAGAGGACAATCGCTGAGCCTTAAAATGTAATGGAATTTGCCCTGTAGATTTAGACTTGCTGAGCAACCATGACTTCTTTCTTCTTTCCAATTTCTCATTTTTGGAAGGGGAATCTCTATCCTAAGCCTGTCTGACCATTGTATTTAGGAACAGATAACTTTTAGCTTTTACAAGTTCACAGCTGGAGAGGAATTTTGCTTCAGGATGAATCATATATGGAGTCTTACTCATTTGATTTAGATGATTTTTAGATGAGATTTGGGTCTTATAGTTGCTGCTAGAATGAGTTAAGCCTTTTGGGCTTTTATGATTGGTGCAAATGTATTTTGCATGTGATAAGGACATGAATTTTGGGGATCCAGAAGGCTAAGTACTATGGGATGAATTGTGCCCCTGACAAATTCATATATATAGAAGCCTTAAGCCCTGGTATTTCAGAATGTGACTGTATTTGGTGATTGAGTTAAAATTATGCTAATAGGGTGAGTCTTAATCCAATGTGACTGGTGTTTTTATAATCAGCAGAAATTTGGACACACAGAAGCATACCAGACCTGTGTGGGCACAGAGGAAAGACCATGAAGGACATAGCAAGAAGGTGGCAATCTGCAAGCCAAGGAGAGAGACCAGAAGAAACCAAATCTGTCCACACCTTGATCTTGGACTTGTAGCTACCAGAAATGTAAGAAAATAAATTCTGGTGTTTAATCCACCCAGTCTGTGATATTTTGTTTGTAGCAGTTCTAGCAAACTAATACAAAACGTAAGGATCTGATTGTTCAATCCTGGGACCTCCAAGGATTACCCTTAATCTCTCCTTTCTATGGGGTCCCAGGTCCCCAGGCTCTGAAGATGTCAGCTTTGGGAGCCTGACGCTTCAGATAGCCAAGTCCTTGGAGGGAGGTCATAGGAAGAAAGCAGAACCTGGGACACTTCTATCATACAGTCTGCCCATCCATGGGATAACAGGACAACAGATTCAGCAAAGGGGTTTCTCCGCTAGGGGACTGTGTAGACGTAGTGGGAGGACTATTGGTTGATTTTGGAAGCAGAACTTTCTGGTCCAGTCTTTGGACACATTGTTAACTTTCCTAATTCTCAGAATCTTCTAGTTAGATGGCATGTTGCCTGCATTTCTCACAGGAATATTGTGAGTCCCATGGGTGATTCTGCCTGTGAAAGCACTTCGTAAATATAAAGCACTGCACATATGTGAGCCTTTGTACTTTACTCAGAACTTTGGCCTTGTATCCTCGTTCCTAATGATCTCAGAATCTAAAATTACTAGTCTCTACCCAAAAAGGGGATTTTTCTCACCCTCCTATAAAATTACTCTGCTTCTATTTTTTCCCACATGTAAAGCAGGTTCCTATTTGCTGTAGGGAGAGTGTCTTGTGACTGCGTCTTAATTTATAAAGGCAACTGAGTGACAAAACAAAGAACCTAATACCACTGAAAGATAATTTTTATTACTTACATTTCCTGAGAAGAAGGGTCACACCAGACCATGCGGGGACACAGGGAAAGTATCATATTTTGGTCAAGAGGCAGAAGCAGGAGAGAGGGCAAAGCCTAGGCCAGAGCCTTTATTGGGGTTTCCTGGGGAAACTCAGGACAGGACAAACAGCTTACAATTGACTAGTATGAATAATTCCCATGCGCCTTGGTGCATGTAGTGATTTGGAAACGAAGCCAAAATGTCTCCTAAGTATGCCTGTATATGAAATTTCTAGTTTATCTATCAAAAAAAATTACCTTTGTGCATATTCATTTTTAAGAAACTCATGAACATTAAATTTTGAAATCATTTCCCACAGTACACCAGGCAACAAAAAATATTATTTTTATCCTTATTTCTGAAATTTTCTTTTATTTCCTATTATTTCTCATATGCTAACTATATTTCTATTTTCAAATCACGTAAAGGTGCAAGCCATGCATCTTATTTCAGCACACGAAGAAAGGCATGTACAAATATAATCATATGTTGTATATTTATGAATAGAGAGGCAGGTTTTAGTGAGGGAGAACCTGAAATTGCAGTACCATGGTATTTTCTTTATAGCCACAGAAATAACTTGAAATAGATCAAGGAGTGAATAACTCATAAGCAAATTACAAATATATATTTCCAAAATTTTAAGTTGTTTGAATCTAACATGGAAGGAAATTGTTCCAGATGCCATTCAACTAGAGAACCTAAGGATGTAGCCTTAGTGTTCATCATGAAGCACTCCAATGAGGTGGCATATGCTTGGGTCAATAGAAGGCACATGATTCATTCAGGGTTACAAAACAGATTACAGTTTATTTATTTAGATGTGAGAAGCATAGTACATGCTAAATAAAGGGGTATGAAAATGCAATTTCAATGGCCAAATTTGCATCCTTCACAAGCACACTCTGCTCTGCTTCTTTTGATTGACCTCTCCTCCATAACACTCTCTGTTCAGTTTCCAAAAAAAAAAGACTAATTTTCATTAATCTCTGATATAGAACATTACCTTTTAAAAGAGATGGAGACCACTGTTCCCCTTCCATTTTTTCTACCACATATGCCATCCCTACTAACCCATTATTCTACTGAAGTGAAAATATCATTTTCGAATATTATGGCGTACTCTTTTTCAGGATCACCTGGTATAGCAATCTTTCTTATAATCATCAATAGATGCCCACAATCATACAACAAATCTAAAGAGGCTGTGACCACAGAAAACAAGGTAACTTAGATAATATTTTACATCTATTCTCTGCCACTTCCCATGCTCCCAAATTTGCATAATATTGTACTTTAAAATCAGTATACTAGTTTTCCCAGGTTCCATGGATATGAATAAACCCTCCAAATGAAGCTCCTTTCATTTTACTGATCCCTTCCCTGAGACCATCATGGTGAAAAATGAAACGCGTGTAATGAAAATATAAACAGGCTTCAAACTTCAGGTTGTAAGTCATCAATAATAACGTAGCCTTTTCAAGAAACCTCAAATCACTGAATAAAAATATTTTTATAAACTGAAATATAGACCTTTCCAGTGATGTCCTTGCTTCATTGACACACATCATCTCATGAGTTTTAATTTTAACTTTTAACCCTCCATGGAATTTAACCTCTGAGGTTGGTTCATCATGAACTGTAAAGGAATTAGTTCCCTCTAGTATGAATTTCGTTATGTGTATTCCATTGAGAGAACTGGTTAAACTATCCCCTTCATTCCATTTGAAATGTGTCTCTTCAATATGAATTATTTGGTGCATACCAAATGGTCATTGCTTAAGGGTCTTGACACATTTGTACAGTTTCCATTTTATATGAATTCTTTCATGACCATAAAGTTGCACATATTTGATAAAGCTGATCACACTCACTACATTTATAAGACTTCTCTCTAGTAAGAATTCTGTTATGTTCCACAAGTCTTAAACTTTGGATATGCCTGCCATACATTACATCTGTGTGTTTCTCTCAAAGATGTATATTCTGATATCAAATGAAGTCTGAGACCTGGTTACCAGCTTGGACATATACGTTACTCTTACATGGTTTCTTTCCACAGCGGCGTCTCCGATGTTGAGTAAGGCTTGAACAATTGTGTAAGTTTTGTTTCAATCCTATTTGTAAGGTTTCTTGCTACTATGAATTCTCTGAGGATTCCGAAAACTTGAGCTTTTGAATAAAAGTAGTGCCACATATATTAGGTGTATAATGTTTCTTTTCAGTATGTATGTTCTGTTGCCTAGGTAAGCTTGCAAATGGGGTAAAGCTCGGACATACTTATTACATTTGTAAGGTTTCTCTCCAGTATGGATTCTCTAATGCTGAAGGCGGCTTGAAAATTGAGTAAAAGATTTGCTACAGTAGGTACATTTCTATGGGTTCTCTCCAGTATGGATTCTCATGCTGAGTAAGGCTTTGCTGCATTCATTACATTTGTAAGGTTTCTCTCCAGTATGAATTCTCTGATGAATTGCAAGGTTCAGCTTTTGACTACAAACCTAGCCAGATTCATTATATTTGTAAAGTTTCTGTGCAGTATGGAGTTTCTTGTGTCGAGTAACTTCTGAAACATCCATAAAGGATTTGCCACATTCAATACATTTTTAAGTTTTGTCTCCAGCATACATTTTCTTATGTCTTTTAAGGCATGAAAATTGGGTAAAAGATTTGTCACACTCATTACATTTGTCAAGTTTCTCTACAGTATGGATTCTTTTATGCTGATAAGTCCTGAACACTAAGCAAAGGCTTTGTCACATCCATTACATTTGTAAGGTTTCTCTCCAGTATGGGTTTTCTGATGTCTTTTAAGGAATACAAAATGGGTAAAAGATTTGCCACACTCATTACATTTGTAAGGTTCCTCTCGTGTGGATTTTCTGATGTCTTTTAAGGCTTAATATAAGGGTAAAAAATTTACCACACTCATTACATTTGTAAGGTTTCTCTCCTGTGTGGATTTTCTGATGTCTTTTAAGGCTTACAGAAAGGGTAAAAGATCTGCCACACTCAGTACATTTGTAAAGTTTCTCTCCAGTATGGATTCTGTTATGCTGAGTCAGTGATGAACGCTGAGCAAAGGCTTTGTCACATTCATCACATTTGTAAGGTTTCTCTCCAGTATGAATTCTCTGATGAATTACAAGATGTGACTTTTGACTACAGACCTTGCCACATTTATTACATTTGTAAGGTTTCTCTCCAGTATGGATTTTCTGATGTCGAGTAAGATGTGAACTGCACCCAAAGGCTTTGCCACACTCATTACACCTGTAAGATTTCTCACCAGTATGAATTTTCTGATGTTGTGTAAGGCTTGAAAATCGGGTAAGAGATTTGCCACACTGATTACATTTGTAAGCTTTCTCTCCAGTATGGGTTTTCTGATGTGTTTTAAGGCATACAAAATCGGTAAAAGATCTGCCACACGTGTTACATTTATAAGGTTTCTCTCCTGTGTGGATATTCTGATGTCTTTTAAGGCTTACAAAAAGGATAAAAGATTTGCCACACTCATTACATTTGTAAGGTTTCTCTCCAGTATGGATTCTCTTATGTCGAGTAAGGCTTGAATGTCTAGAAAAGGCTTTGTCGCATTCATTACACTTGTAAGGTTTCTCCCCAGTATGGATTCTTTTATGTTGAGTAAGCCTTGAGTTTTTAGGAAAGGCTTTGCTGCATTCATTACATTTGTAAGGTTTCTCCCCAGTATCCACTCTCTGATGAGTTGCAAAGTTTGAACTTTGATGAAAGATTTTGCCACCTACATCACATTTATCTGATTTCTCTCCTGTGTGCATTTTCTGATGTCTACTACGGTTCGAGCACTTATTAAAAGCTTTGCCACACTCATTACATTTGTAAGGTCTCTGTCCAGAATGAATTCTATCATGTTTCAAGAGGTATGAGCTTTTGCTAAAAGCCTTCCCACATTTATTACATTTGTAAGATTTTTCTTTAGTGTGTGTTTGCCCATATTGTGCAGGTAACAAAAGATATTTAAAAACCTCCCTATATTTATTACCAATATTTTTGACACTGGGAGGGATTTGTTGAAGTGGTGAAACTGAGGAACCATGGTTGACAGACTTCTCAACTTGACTGCATTCATAAATTTTCTCCTCAGTTTTAAATCTCTGCAGCTCAGCCGGCTGTGCCTGCCAACTTAATCCAGTTCTATTTTTCAAACACATTATATACTCATTTCTAGGATGAGTTATGTCATTTTTCAGTTTTAACAAATCGCCTATAAATGGCTCATCATGCATGAAATATTGGTATGTATTATTTCTTACAGAAACACTCTGCTTTTGAGGAAAATTATTTGTGGATTTATTACGTTCATCTATCCTATGAGTGAGCTTTTCTTTATGGATTAAAGGCACTCCTTTGTCATTTCTTGCATCATATCCCCACACACTCCCAAACTCGTGTATATTTTCCAAGACTTCTTTGAGGTCAAAATCCTTGATGCCATGGCTTTCATTTCTTTCCAATATCAGCAGATGGTAGAATTTTCTTTCATTAATGTCCTCTCTTGGTGATAATTCCTTTATTGCAAATCCAGCAGAAAGGCTTCCTATTAAATACAATTTAATTGGAAGAGAAATATTTTATATTAAATTAATTATACAAAAAATAATCCCTATAATGAACAAAGTTGTTAAATTTCTGAATCTCTGTCTTCAAGCACCATTGTAATGTACATATTTCTAAATTTTTAGTGTTACAATTTTTCCATATTAGTATTTTTCTCTCCCCTTTGATAATAAATTTTCAAAACACACCGTATGTACTATAAATATTTTCAGGCCATATAACTGGATAATTAAATGACACTCAACAGTTAGGTAAATTGATGTACATATTGGCTAGTATATAACCATAGGCATGAAATCATAATGGAAATTTGAGGTTGTCGTCCATAGTTCTCAATCTTTATGATAAGCTGTGTTGATATGATGCAAGAAAAATTACCAAAACATCTATAAAACAATAATAAAACATTTTTGTAACCCATGATAAATTAGGTAAGTTAATAATTAACCACAATTATAAAAAATAATAGTCTCTGAAATTCTAAACAATTCTTCCTAAGGAACTAAGGAGAGATTTACATTCAAGGATGACCACACAATAGTAAAAAAGAACAATATCTTGTAAATCATAAATTTGAACTAGTTTCAAATAAACACAGATTATCATAAAGATTAAAAGTAAAGGGGACAGCCCCATGGCCTAGTGCTTAAGTTCAGTGTGCTCTGCTTTTGTGGCCTGAGTTCTGTTCCTGGCCGTGGACCTATATCACTCATCAGTGGCAAACCTGTGGTGGTGAGAAAAATACAAAATAGAGGGAGATTGGCACAGATGTTAGCTCAGGATGAATCTTCCCCAAGCCAAAAAAGATAAAGAAAAAGAGAAAGATTGGTGACTGATGTTAGCTTAGGGCCAATCTTCCTTAGCAAAAAAAAAAAAAAAAAAAAAAAAACCAGAAAAAAAAAAAAAAAATTATGGAAGACTGTCAGAAATCTCAAATATGATTTCATGCCTACAGTTATATAATAGCTAGTACACAGAACAACTCTCTATGAAGT